ACAACTCATAGCGACCCTATGAACAAAAGACCTGAACTCTCTTGTGTAACTATAATAGTTTCTCTATGTTCATAGAGTTTTCAAAGGCGTGTGGTTTAGGAGGTGGGTGCCACTCCTGCTTCCAAATCTGAATCAATTTGAGAGCTTCACTAAGCACTGTTCAGAAATGGGATATGTGTAGATATATACACATATACATACACACATACATATATATGTGTATATATAGATGCATATATATGTGTATATATATGTATGTGTGTCTATATCTATATATATCTATATCTATCTATCTATCTATCTATCTATCTATCTATCTATCTATCTATCCTATATATATAGTATGGAGAGAGAGAGACAGAAAGAGAGAGAGAGACAGAAAGAGAGAGAGAGAAAGAGAAATCACTAGGATAGGATAGAGGTTAGTGGCCAGGGAAGGGGGGTTGAAGTAACAGGAAATATTCATTGGAGGCTTGAAAATATGGGGTGACAATTGAAAAATCTATAGTAATTAGCTATATAAAATACAATGCACACGGATGAAGCACAATGTTTATGAATAATTCATGCAGACCAATTAAAATTGCAGGTTAAAATAATACAAAAGTGAAAAAAGAAAGATAAAATCATCAGTATATGAATAAAAGATCAATAAAACTATTCCAAAGGGAAAATGAGAAGATAAGTGGGCAAAAGAAGTAGAGAGAGTCTTTGGCTGCAGATTTGCACAATGCGTATGCTGGTAGATTTCTTCACTGTTTTTTCCATGGATGTTGACTATTGATCTAAGTTAAATTAAATTATTGAAGTTTCAAATGTTTATCCATCTATCATGATATTGCTTATCAGGCCAGTTGTAAAGAATTTTTAAATTTCTTGATGTTGAGATGTAATCCATGTCATCAAGGTTGTAATCTTTAATCTTCTGCAGTAAGTGTGCCATTTTCAGTTTATTTTCAACAAGCAAAGTTGTTTCACTTGCATGGCATACATTGCCAACTAGTTTTCCTTCCGTCCTGATGTCACATTCTTCATATAGTTCTACTTGTTGGATTGTTTGATCAATATGTATGTTGAATACATATGGTGAAAAATGCATCTTATGTTTGTGGAATGCATGTGAAAAATAACACACATCTTCCCTTGTTTTAAGCCATGTGGTATCACCTTTTTTTTGTGTAACCAATTGCTTCATTTGGTGGTTCTACATGAGCACAGTGAAGTGTTCTCTAATTCCTATTCTTCTTAATATAATCTGTAATTTACTAAGATGCATACAGAAAACCTCTTTAGAAAAGTCATAAAACACAATTAATTTTGATAATCCATACTTTTGGCCAAAATCCATCTGATGGTAGTGTAATGTACCTCATTCTCTAAATAGATGTGACATGTACCTTACCTTATGGAATCTAATTATGCCAGGATTGAAAGAGGTCCATATTTGTTCTCATTCTCAAGAAAAGTGATTCAAACAGATGTGGAAATTATTGAGCAATATCATTAATACCATATGCAAGCAAAATACTGCTGAAGATCATTCAAAAATGGCTAGAACAGTATGTAGATAGGGAACAGCTGGAAGTTCAAGCAGGATTTAGAAGAGGCAGTTGCACCAGGTATACAATTGCTGATGTCAGATGGATCCTGGCTGAAAGTGAAGACTACCAGAACAATGTATATTTGTGCTTTCTTGGCTATGCAAAAGCATTTGACTGTGTAGCTCATAACAAGCTGTGGCTGACACTGAGAACAACGGAAGTCTCAGAGCACTTAATTGTGGTCATGCAGAGCCTATGGTTGGAACAGGAGACTGTTTTATGAACAGAGAAGAGAACACTGGATGGTTTAAAATAGAGAACGAAGTGCATCAGGGTTTTTTGGTTTTTGTTGATTTTTTTTTCTTCTCTCCATGCCTGTTCATTCTTTAAGCTGAGCAAATTATTCAAGAAGCTGGGCTCTAAGAAGAGAAGTGTGGCATCAGGATTGGAGGGAGACTCATCAATAGCTGTGTTATG